GTCCGCTCGGAATCATCCTCGGACACCACAGAAACAAGATAGCCTTGACAGCTACCCTTGGAAAGGCTCTTCCTAGCTTTCATAGAAGAGATGACTCGAGGCACAGTCCTCGACTTCACCCCAAAGAATACAACTGGATGATCAGAAATGGGAAAGAGAGTGACTTCGCGCTCCTGGCACTGGATGTCGGCTCGATAGCGGGTGAGCCAGTCTATGCCCAAGATCACATCGAAGTCCCGCATTTCAATCACATAAACACTGGCCTCCAAAATGTGCCCTCCAATATTGACTGGAAGACTGGGAATCATAGAGTCGAAAATAATAATCTTTCTCGAGGCTAGACTAACCTCGAGAGGGTCACAAGGGCACACATTACTAATGGACAAAGCCTCCAAGCAACGGATAGAAATAAAAGAATGAGTGGCTCCAGTATCACATAAATACAGGCATGTTAGATATCGAAAGCATTCTGGATATAGTACCTGCGTTGTTGGCTGCCTCATCATGAGTGATGGTATACACGCGGGCCTAACCCCCAGCCCTCTGCTGGTAAGGTGGGGGCTGTCTGGGCTGCTGCTGATGGGGTGGAGGTGGAAGCTGGTGTTGAGGGTAGAGTGGCTACTGCTGTGGCCTCTTCGGCTCGGGGCACATATGCAAAAAATGTCCGACACGGTGGCAATTGAAACAGTGTCTGTCGGCTGCTCGGCACTCTCCTGGCCCATGGAACTTGCCGCAGTTAGGGCACCTCGGAAGCCGTCCCTGAGGGGGTCGGTCATCACGCCTCCCGAAGTTCCTTTTCTTTCCTTTCTTTTTGTTCTGATGGTAGTCGGCCTTCCTCTTGCCCGAATTAGAACCGGGCGCAACAGCTGAGATAGGCTGAATCATAGGGGTCTGCTGATAGGATGGGGCAGCCGCCCTTTGGGCATTCTGGCAAACCTCTAACTCGGTGGCTCGACGAACCATCTCGGAGTAAGGCAGAGCTCCGTGGCCAGTCAGGGTGTAGCAAAGGTCGGGGCGAAGACCATCACGGAAACAAAAGGCCTTCTTCTGGTCGGTATCCACGAGCATCAGAGAAAATGCGCACATACGGGTGAAGTCGCGCTCATAGACATCCACGGGACGGGGTCCCTGCTTAAGCACCCAAAAGTCCTTCATCATCTGGGCACGGTGAGCCTCTGGGTAGTACTTGTCCTTGACTATTGCAACCATCTGGTCCCAAGTCAATGCATCCTTCTCAGCACGAGGACGAAGCCTCCAATAGTCATTCCACCAAGTCCTAGCATCTCCGGTCCTCACGAACGAGGCACAGTGGATTTTCACCTCATCAGTGGTGAACAACAGATCAAAGATACTCTCCAGCTGCTGAAGCCATTCAGCCACAGCTTCGGGGCCCTCAACTCCGGTGAACGCCGGAGAATACATGTTATGGAAATCGATCACAGCTTGGGTAATGGGATCTCTACCCGGAGCATGCTGATGAGGAGGAGGAGGAGGGGAGGAGGAGGACGTGGTTGCTGCTGATTGCTATTGCGGGTTTGATGAGCCATTTCTCTACATTGGAAAATGAGCCGCAAAGATTTAGCACAAAAATAAAAGGAGTCTAGAGTTCGACCCTAGAGTTCACATTTTAAAGGTGGATAAAACCTAACCCCAAATATTAGCAATACATTACTCAAGTATATACCATTACTTATTTAAAACATACCTTAAGTAGTGCGGCATGACGAAGACGAGTGGTCAAACACACAAGGTCAATTCACACAATCACTTAATCACATATAAACCAGTCTACAAAAACGCAAACTGGCTCTGATACCAAACTGTAACGCCCCAAAGATTTATAAAGACATTTCTGGCCTTATCCAAAAATCTTGTTTTAAAATTTCGAAACCATTTATGGATTTATAAAACATTTGGCGCTACTTGAGAACTTTTCAAAGTTAAAACACATAATCAGCATAAAGGAAACTAGAATATTCAACATAATTCAAGTTCCAGGACTAGATTTCAACATACTAGCAATAGGATTGTCAACATAATCCAAACTGATAAAAAATTATCCATATGGTTCAACAGTTCAACCAATCCCAAAAGCAATAGGGAAAAATAACAAAGTCTGATAGTCTCAACATAAATATCAAAGCATGCGGAAGCAATATAAAGCAACAATAATGTTTGACCATCCACTCGTCTTTAGTCTTGTCATGCCCAACACGTGCTTAACCTGCATCAATGAAGAGCAGGTGGGGATGAGCACAAATATAAACGAGGTGCTCACCACTAAGCATAATATATTGGTAAGAAGCCTATACTAGAGTCATATGCAAGTATATGGCCAAAAGACATAACACACCACTCTCATACTCATCACTATACTCATGTGCACACCTATCAAAAGCTGCCAGGGGTAAGCCCAAACTCGTCAGCGAGAGTACAGTCGTGCCGAGGTTCAACATCAACGGTCACGACCCATCAACTAGGCTAAAATGAGTCTACCTATCACAAGGTTGGAGATCGTCCACCACTAGGCACCGTCTCATGACTCACACATACATTCATAGACACTTAGTATAAAAATCTTACCTCAATTATAACATAGCAAATTTTAGATTAAAACCCACCTGGAAATCGAGGTAGAATATCACACAAAAGCAAGTTCGTAGGTCGAGGGCTCGACTCTCAAACACCTACATTTAAACGAGATAATATATTAATAATCTATCTCACTACTCGAATTTAACATAAAACCCATGGTTAATAAAGATTAAGACTTAAGGGTTTTTAATCGGATTTTTCGTGGACTTGGAACTCTCTAATTTTTGAAAATTAGGACTCGGAGAACAAAATTGAAGTTTCGGGACTTAAAATAATTTTTTCAAAATTTTTATCAATTTTTTTTTAAATATTTTTAAAATCGAAATCGGTATTAAAAACGGGCTCCGAAACACAAATAGGCCAAAAAGACCGCACTTGGACGGCTAAACTACCATTGGGCCGGAATTAATGCCATAATTCACCACACACAATTATTGGGCTGAACACACAAGGTATTTGGGCCGAAATATGGCCTGGCCCAATGCCTAAAGGCTGTTGGCCAGCTGCGGGCCGCTCACGGGCTCGCGGGCTTGGAGCTGAGAGGAGGCGTGGGCTGGAATCGGGCCAACCGGCCCGCGCACTGGGCTGTTAACTAATAAACCCAAAAAAAAAGAACAGACTATTTGCAAGGGGCTGGGATCGAACCCACGCCCTCGCACATGTAAAGGAGGAAGGTGACCACTGCACCACGCGCCCAGATGCTACTTTAAACGTAATAATAAATTACTGAATGGAAACAAACGTCTGTGACTAAACACAGATTGAACAGAGGTGCGAACAAAATACAGAGACTTGTAAATGACAGAAAATTTACGACCAAATTCACACAATCCATCTACAGCTCAGGTTCGGGAAAAATAGTACATATTTATCAGAGTTTGAAATATCTTAAAAACGGGTTTTTAGCTTCGAAAAATACGGAAAAACAAATTAACGATTCAAACGACAAACGACTACGGCAAGACTCGGAACAATAAATCGAGACTCCAAAATAATACGAGATTAATCACAGCAACAAGGTTCGATTTGAAATTAAACAAGAATTCCGATTATCCACGTAAATTCGTGGTTACACACAACGAACAAAAGATTATACCAACCGATAAACAATCCAACGCAAATGACGAGAATCGGTACAACGAGTACAAATATCAATGAAAACGCCAACGTGAGTATGAAGGAGGGGATTTGAAGAATGATTACCCGTCTTCGGGAATCTACGATTAATGAGGATGGCCGGATCGAGAATACGGGCCACGGACGGCAGATCGAAATCTCGAAACTCCTCGAAGGCTCCAATTGAAACTCGACGAACAGCTCGTCACAGGACAATCTGAAGGTCGGCGACGACGAGGCTGTTCGAAGGTAGGCTCGCCAGAGAAGAAGATGGCCACCGAAATTAATGGCGGATGGGGCTGCTGCTGCAAACACCGGCGACGGACGGCTACTACCTGAGATTCCGCAGCAAACGGCTGAGAGCTAGAGGACGACGGATGTTTACTGAACACAAAGCTGGAAGGTTTGTGCTGCACGGAGAAGAGGGTGGCTAGCGGAAATCAAATATGGGATTTTTTTTTATTGCTCGATGAGAGAGATCTGTGAACCAGCTATGAGAAACTGAGGGAGAAAGGATCCTCATCCGAGTTCAGTTATAGGAAAATCGTGAGGGACGTGCGAGGAGATTTGGCCAAAATATCGCAACAGATTTTTGAACCATTAAGGGAGAGGACCTGGTCGCGTGAAGGAGGAGAAGGAAGGAACGGATCTCTTATTCCTTTGGGCTAAAGCAATAATTAGAATTTGAGCCTAAATAAAACAAGGTCTTGGCAAATTAAATTAAGTCCCAAATGGATCTAGAAATATCCAAATTGGGTTAGCTTTGATTCAATTTTGGGCTAGAAAATATAAAGGTAAAAAGGCTAGAAATTAAATAGCACTAACGGGCTAGAATTAAATTCCAATTGAACCGAGAATCATGTCCGAGGAATATCAAAAAATTCGCTTGACGACGCATACATTACTCCGGAATATATGTATGTATCACACAATAATATTTATTAATAGATAACATTTAGACAATAATAATAATAATAATAATAATAATAATAATAATAATAATAATAATAATAATAATAATAATAATAATAATAATAATAATAACTCCAAATAATCACATTCGAATGGGGTATTACATCGCGTATCTCGAACTGCTGTGGTTCAATCACCCAAGCCTTGTGCTCCTCCCCTTCGACCTCAGTTGCCTCGACTTCTTCGACATCATGTTCATCCTCGGGGTATATGTCGAAAATAGGTGGGCCATCATAATCCATCGAGACTTGCTCGACCATGCTCGCGTATGCGCCTGCTTCCTTGACGGTAAAAATCTGACCGCCCCCATGCCAAACCCGCTCAATACTCTTGAGACCAAACTCCTTGGTTCTGTCGTCTTTGCTTCCTTTTAACGTGACCCGGTGCTCTCCCGAGTCTAACTCCATGACCCTAGTTCGATAGTTGGTGGTCACTTTTCCTAATCCCTTGAGCCACTGCACTCCTAGCACAACATCGGGTCCAACCAAGGGTAGCGCATAGAGATCGGCTTTGATAACCACTCCTTGAAATTTGATCGGTACCGCACGATAAGCCTCCGAGCACGTTAGCCGTTCTCCATTGGCTACTTGGACTTCAAATGGTTCGAACCTCTTCGTTGGCAACTTTAACTTTTGAGATAGATCGGCGTTGATGAAGTTGTGCGACGATCCGTTGTCTACGAGCACGACTATACGGCGGTCCTTGACACATGCTGGTAGCCGCATCGTCCTCGGTCCTCTCGTTCCAGCCATTGCGTGCATTGAGATTTCGGCCTCCTCTTCGGGAACCCCAATCTCGACTTCTTGCTCCCAATCCTCTTCGATCTCGGGCTCTTCATCATCGATTACGTGGATGAAAAAAGCCTGCTTGCAGTGATGGCCAAGCGTAAATTTCTCGTCGCACTTGAAACAAAGTCCCTTCTCACATCGGCGCTTTGTTTCCTCGGGTGACAGTCTCTTAACCTCCGGGACTGGTGGTCGAGAACTATCAGGTGGTCGGCCGCTCGGAAACATATTGCTTGCGTCCGGTTGTGCGCGTCGCGTCTCAGGGTAGCGTGCATCTGCCCGTCCTCTTCGAGTTGCCACAAGATGACCTTCTCGGCGTCGGGCCACTTCCATAGCCGCATGCATTGATTCTTGTCGCTCTAGGCGAACCTCCACGGCTAGATCATACTTCAGCCCACCAATAAATGGCCCAACCAACGCAGTCTCGGGCCAGCCTCGTACGCGACATGCCAATCGCTCGAACTCCTTAAGATAGTCGCGCAAGCTGCCGGTCTGTCGTATGCGTGATAACACCTCATCGTCATTGTGGTAGTTGGAAGAGCCGTAACGCGTGAGTAACTCGCGCTCGAAATCGTTCTATCGGATGACTCGCTGTCAGCTCCGGTATACGCTAGTAAGCCACTGCCACCACACGTTGGCTTCACCATCAAGATAATAAGCAGCGTACTTTACTCGATCATGTCCTTCGGTCTCGTTGAGATCAAAGTATTGAACGGCTCGGTTGAGCCAAGCTTCCGGATCGTTGCCGTTGAAGGTAGACAGCATGAGCTTGGGCTTGGCGGGCCTCGGTCGATCATGGTAGTCGGATGCTTGAGATCGCCGATCGAAGTTCTCCTCTTGCTCGCGCTCATCATGCCGCCGTTCCTCCTCCTCGTGCTGCTCGCGGTCATGGCATCATTCAAACTCTCGATCCTCACGCCGCCGCTCATGATCATCATCATGCTCACGCTCGCGGCGTCCTTCATGCTCAGGCCTCTCGCGATTGGGCCGTCGGGGCGGTGATTGGCGCGCCAACATGTTGCGTGCCATCTCATCGAACCTTCGGTTCATGATCTCCATCAATTCACGAACGGATGCCTTTGTGGTATCGAGACCCTCGCCTAGGGTATTCATAGCCTCGCTCATACTTCGGACCTGAACGTCGAGATTATCGATCGTGTCCTTCATCTCCTTGTTGGCCATGGCTTTCTTCTCTTTGCTTCTAGGACTCGTCTTTGAGGATGATGGTATTTTTTTTTTTTTTGATAGGGGGAACGAAAAAATAAAGAAAACAAAAAAGGGAATGGGGTAGAAGAAAAACACACGATCAACACCTCTCAATGAAAGCACCAATCATGAAGATCGTGTGTTTCGATTGCCGATAAGCCACTAACCCGCGCCTTGAATCTCCGATAGTGTTTCTCTAGCCACAACCGCGCCTATTGAAACAAATAAAATTGCAATAGAATTTTGATGAAAATCTAAAGGAAAGTGGAAGAACAAAAGTTCAGATTTCTATTCATAAATTTCATGATGAAGAATAACATAGGGAAGGGGCCTTTATATAGGCACAAAATATATCTAGTCCTAATCTACCTAGGGAATTATTAAAGCAATAAAATATTAAGTATCCTAACCAATCTAGATATCATAGAGCATTAAGGAAACTAAATAACTAGGTATCTTGAACTTGTCTTGCACTCCAAGTATCCCCAAGCCGCCATTGGCAGCCCTGCCCGCGCGCGCGTGCTGTCCGTGAGCGCTGCTGCCCTGCGCTCGCGTGCAGGCTGCTTGATACGGAAGTAATCATCAACCCCGGTGAGTCCGACAATGATGATGACAATGATCTCGTTTTATGGTTAGAAAACATGTTGGAAAAGCCATCTAGTCCTATTCACCGGCCATCTTGTGTAAGGGATTGGCCGAAAGGATGTGGTCCAAAAGCTGGGTTGAAGCCTAAGAGGTGCAAGATCAAAAGAACTCGAAGGAAAGGCAAGGCAAAAGCAAAAGAAGAAAAGTGTTGGTGCAAGCCTTGTGCGAGGAAAAGGCGAGTTCGCAGGACGGTGGCTCGAAGGGGAGGTACGAGTAGAATGGAAGACGGTTGGATTTAGAGAGTTGGTGATTGCATCGGGATGGATGGATGGGACCCATGGCCAATGGGCGAGCCAACGGAGCTGGACGGCAGAAGGGTCGAGGAAGATCGGCTATCGGGCGTGGGGCGCGCATCGGGCCGTGATGCGCGCGAATATGTGTCGGGCCAGGTATCGGATGCGATGGACGCGAGAGGGTGCGCGGTAGACAAGCAGGCCACGGTGGTTGGCGGTACGCGCAACGCAGCGGGCGCACGGGAATGCGCGGGAGGCGATCGGAGCCCGCGAGCGATGGACGCAACGCGCGAAAGAGCAGGCGCGGTGGGGTGCACCGTAGGCGATGAGGGCTGGGGCGTTGGCGAAGACGCGCGCGAGGAAGTCGACAGGGACGAGGCGCGCGACAAGCGCGCGAGTATGGGCGACGCGGGTGAAGTCCTAAGCTGCAAAGGATTAGGCGACACGGGTGATGCGCTGGCAGGAGCGGACGATTGAGTCCTAGCGGGCGTAGGAGTGCTGGGAGGTGACGGGCACGCACGTGGGACGGACGACACGAGTAATGTGCGCGCGACAGCGCACGCGAATAGTGACCGCGTGCAGGGCGCCGAGTCCGCCGAGGACTAGGAATAGCGAACGTGCGACGCGATGCGTGAGGCGGCGGGCGTGCAAGAGGGCCGAGAGTTTTAGCATGTGATGAATTAGGGAGCATTCTAGATTTGCTTGGTGTGCAAGCCAAGCATTAGTATTTTGGTAGGTTTAGGATTTATTTGCTTTCTAGACTTAGGATTTCTATTCTTGCATGATTTAGGAGATCTATTAGATTTAGGACTAGATTTATTTTACAACTATAAATACCCCATGTACCTCATCATTATTTTAGAGGTCTTGAATTGAGTATTGAATTGGTGAGCCAATTTTGAGGGGGAACCTTGTGTTCTTAACGTGTGATAAAGAAGGCCATTAGTGCGTCTTTACATACAGTGTCGGAGAGAAGGCCCTGAGAGCGTCTCGAAGTCACAGTGTCTAGAAGAAGGCCCTGAGTGCGTCTGCTAGATACATCTATCGGGAATAAACAAAGGCCCTGAGTGCGTCGTTTATTCGCAACCCAGTATAGACAAAAGATCGATCCGTCATCATTGGTGCTTTCATTGAGAGGTGCTGATCGATATTTTGTCTATCTTATCTTTTATTTTTTTCGGTTTGCCTTTTGTTGAGGGACCGAATTTCTCTTATTTTTTTGAGTCGAAATTTTCGAATTTTTTTTTTCGAAATTTCATTAAAAAAAAAAAAAAAGAAGTGTCAACTTGTTAGTCCTTTGTTTGATTTTTGTTCGGTTATTACCTTTTGTTGAGGGGCCGAATTTCTTTTTTGTTTCGATTTTTTGAGTCTTGTGGGGGTTCGATTTTTCGAATTTTTCCCCTTTTATTTTCG